GGGGTGGGGGGGGGGGGGGGGGGGGGGGGGGGGGGGGGGGGGGGGGGGGGGGAAAGGAGAAAAGAAGGAAAATTTATTGTCGGCATGTTCCCTCAGAAAGCTTTCTTTGCCCCACCTTCAATATATATATATATATATATATATATTATTTTCAGAAATTAGCAAGATAATTGCATTTGTTTGTTTACATTTTTTCTTAATTGAATAGGTATGATGCGGAGGCCACATATTTTGATGAAAGTGTTAGATCTTCAAAGCGCAGTCAATTGGAAGAGAAACTGATGCAAGTAATACTTTTTGGATAATTCTACATGTACATTATGATATCCATAAGGGTGTCCATAATGTACATGTGGAATTTCATGATTGGAGGGTTGAAAAAACTATTTTTCAACTTTCCAATGATGTTATGCCACTTGTACATTTTGGACACCCTTATGGATACCATGATGTACATGTAGTATAACCCATACTTTTTTAAGCTTGTGTAATTGGTTGGTGTTCACCATGCACATGCACGAATACATAATGCATATATAAAAACAGTAATGGCATTTATATCTTGAATTTATTGAAGCTCCCGGGAAAAATTAACTTTTTCCGCATCACTTTGACAATTTTAAAGTTGATGGATAATAAAAGACCTCGATGCTTTTATAGACAAGACAGAAGAAGTCCATATCCACGGAAAGTGTGCAAATAATGAGAGCATGATAGTAAAACTGAAATCCTAATTTCAAGTTGCATGTGTAAAAGTTGCAAAGTATTTCCAGTGCAATGATGAAATTGATTGCACTTTGCCTCTTACACCTGCAAACGACGTAATTAGACCATTTGTATGTGCAGTATTTGGCCACTAGCTCCAGTTTACTCGTGGACATTGTATAGTTGGGGGGTGTTTTCAACTAATGTTAATGTCCATGGCAATAGTTTGAGAGTTGAATTTGTACAGCGAGAATTTAATCTTTTGGCAAACGTAGAGGGTTAGTGCCTTTCCCTCTTAATATATAAGGAAAACAAGTTCAATATGATAACTAGAACAAATCTCGTTCTTCCAACCAAAAACAGTTACAGAAATAGGAAAATCCTTAAAACACCTCAGATATAGCAGTCCACTGAGAAGTGAATAAATTTGCTTACTCCCATAGATCTCCAAGTAGCTGTTCTTTTTCTTCAGAAATTCTGGAGCTCCTTTCAGTCCAAGCTCCCAACAAATAGCCAATACCACACCTTTCTGTAGGACAGAACCACACTTTTGTGATCCAAAATTAAAAGGTTTTTCAATAAATATTTAACAGCCCCTTTCAGGATGAACCTGTTTTCTGGTGATATTTAATGCTGTCCTTCATGGGTATTGAGCGCAGATAGATGATTAGTTCAACTATTCTCACGCTGTTAAGCTTTCATGCCTGGCAGAATTTTATCTATTTAGATGTTCGTCTTTGTTCTGTTGGCATGGTAGATTTCACTAGGCGTTCAAAGTGGGCACGATTTCTCTATTACACTCTAATACATTCTCTCTCTCATCTGTGTGTGGGCATGGGTTTGTGCATGTTTTTCTCTCATTCTTTCTGAAGCACTTGTTCAAATTTTACAGTTCAAAGGAAAAGACATTCAAAAAGTAGCTTTGAATGTTGATATTGGTAACGTGTTGCTGGATTCACATAAATAGGGCTTTGGTATAGTTTGTTTGGCATGGATAGATGTTAGATCTAATAGTGTATGATATGCTTGTCAAAGTTCACGACAAGATTTTCATTTTGGCAATAATCACCCATATTAAAATTATTGTTTTCCTTATAATTTTCACTTTTCTCACGGTCTTTCTTTATATCTATTAGCTTGTCCAACCAGCTTACCAGTTCATGTTGGGACACATACGTTCTGGAACTTTGGAAAAATTTAAAGAAGCTTTCGATAAAGCCTTGAATAGTGGGAAAGGATTTACTGGTGCTGCATGTGATTGCACTGAGTATTATATGTCACAGTTTGATGAAAGATCTGCAGGTAGGGTGACTCATATTTTACTTTCCATCTCTACTATTCACCTTGATGGGGATTCTGCTCATGGTGTCCCACTGCAGTCTGATTTACTTGGAATATGAACCCTGAGAAAAGGTTCTCAAAAGCCATTTGAGCTGCAAATATTAAAATTTTCAATTGCCATGGCCATTGGGTATTTATCTTAGTTGTAGCTGCAAAATATTAACCATATTATAATGACAACAAAAACAAACTAAGCCTTGTTTCCAATAAATTTGAGTGGGCTGCATGAATCCTTCTCTGCCAATCTGTATCCTTTCATAGCTATATCTACTGAAAGATCTACAGTAACTACAATAGGCCATGTTAAATTTGGTCGACCTTTCCCTCTTGACTTTCTGCTGAAATCGTAGCTTTTACTAATTGTAGTCTCTTTAGGTTGACGCGTATCATGTTGATCTTAGAAAGTTTCTTTCATGGGCCGAAATGTGGATTCTAGCTGATAAATTTCAGAGGGAGTTAGGAACAATAGAGATCAGGTCCTCATCAGCATACATTATGATTGATAACTTATTATTCTACAGACGCGGAAATTGACCAAGCAAACTGGGACTGCTCTAGAGTAAGAGATAAGCTCCAGCGTGATATTGATGCACATGTTGCTGCAGTCAGTAGTGCCAAGCTGTCTGAACTTCTGACAACGTATGAGGTATGAAAGATATATTAGATCCAACAGGTTTCTTCTCTTTTAAGCATGGGAAATGATTTATTTTGATTTACTAGAATAAATAGAGAAAGTTAGTATGTGCCATGCACACTCTAATGGATGATCTGAATTTATCAAACTTAAGGCTATAATAACTAGTACTGGCGTTAGCAAAGAACAGCTAGTTAAGTACCCCTATACTGGTTAAGTTATATTTATGAATATGGTATGATTTTGTTGAGTAGTGAATTCTTTATTATTTGTGTATAGTGTTACCAATGAGATTTCATGTACAGACAAAATTGAATAAGGCAATATCTGGACCTGTTGAGGCTTTATTTGAAGGAGCTAACAATGATACATGGCTTGCAATAAGAAAACTTATCCAACGCGAGATTGAAACAGCTGTAGCTGGATTTTCTGGTGCTCTTTCTGGTTTTGAAATGGACGAAGAAACAAAGGATAAAATGCTTTTGAGGTTGAAGGAACATGCAAGAGGATTGGTTGAATCCAAGGCAAAAGAAGAGGCTGGAAGGGTTTTGATTCGTATGAAGGACAGGTGCTTGCCATGTGCTGTGTATTCATATCTTGACCTAGAATATGTTGACAATACTGAAGTTTTTTTCTGCTTCTCTCCATGGGAACTGATCGACCATTATTTTCAGGTTTTCAACATTATTTAGCCAAGATTCTGACTCAATGCCTCGGGTCTGGACTGGGAAGGAAGATATTCGAGCAATCACCAAAGCTGCTCGCTCTGCCGTATGACACTTTTTTCTAAGATCTTTTATGGTGTTATTGATAGTTAAATCTTTTTAATTTTTCATTACTTTTGTTCTTGTTTCCTAGTCTTTGAAGCTGCTATCTGTTATGGCTGCAAACCGTTTGGATGACAATGCTGATACTATTGAAAGCACGTTGTCCCTAGCTCTCATGGATCCCAAATCTACCAATAAGGGCACTTCAGTGGACCCTCTGGCCTCAAGCAGTTGGGCTGAGGTAATTATTTTGATTGCCGCATTTGATTCTTTGAAGCTGGTAAAGTTGTATCTCAGCTTTAGCACATAAACAGCTGACCTCGATGACAATTCTTTGTGATTTTGCCTTTTATGGTAAAACTTATATATTTATTGTCAAGAGTAAATAAGCTAAACTTGCTGTTCCATTGTGTTAAACCTCTTCTTTGCCTCCTTATGGATTCAAAGATAGTTATACTTTGGCTTTAAAGCTACCGGTGCCCAATCTAATGATTAAAACTATATATATGTTTACCCACATGCAAGTTTGTTGGCCTTAGTCTTATGTGTAGATATTAAAAAAGAACTAATTTTTTTGTTTGTGGTTGCTCCGCCCCAGGTTCCGCCATCCAAAACTTTGATAACGCCTGTCCAGTGCAAGTCTTTGTGGAGGCAATTTAAAGCCGAGACTGAGTACACTGTTACTCAAGCCATTGCAGCTCAGGCATGAACTTGCTAATATAATGTTTCTGAATATCTTCTGTAATATTATTAATTCTTATCCGTTTGAATATGCATTTATGCTGGTATTTCTTTCTAGCATCTTTGTCTTAATCTTCCTATAATATTATGATAGCTATACATTTGCTAATTCGTAATGATTATTGACCAACTTTCAGGAAGCTAGCAAGCGAAATAACACTTGGTTACCACCTCCATGGGCGATTCTTGCATTGTTAATCTTGGGTTTTAACGAGTTTATGACACTTTTGAGGTACCCCTTATATTCTTTGTTGGGAGGGCAGCGGCTACCTGGTGATATACATTTACTAACTTTAGATCTCTCTTACTGGCTAATTTTGAATTGCACTCATGAATTTTATTTTATTTCTTCTTCATTTTTTGACAGAAATCCGTTATATTTGGGTGTTATTTTTGTTGGTTTTCTAATTATAAAGGCTCTTTGGGTACAACTAGACATCCCAGGTGTTTTCAGCAATGGAGCTGTAAGTGAACTAACTTGAATCAACTCTCTCCCTCCCTTGTAAAAACAGTAAGATCCAAGTAAATTTTACTCTTCGTGCTATTTTTTATCTTGGAATCAGGCCACAGGTTGGTAAATTGAAATATCACTAAGAGTATGTTTGGCTAGTTTAAAAAGGTTTACTTATAGTATTATAATAAAAAAATTTAAAGATCAAAATCGCAATTAAGATATACTTATTTTCACACTGAGTTAAAGAGTTATTTTCTGAATTAGTACTTTTTTCTAACATATACAAACATTCTCAGTATTCAGAAGCTTTAGAAATCAACTTTTTTGTTTTACTTCTGATATCTCTTTTGCTCACAGCTTCCCGGACTTCTTTCCTTATCAACCAAATTTCTTCCCACGATCACGAACCTTCTTAGGAAACTAGCCGAGGCGGGCCAAGGGCGTGGAAATCCCAACCCTCAGCATAACCCTCCAGCTGCAGCAAAGAAATTTGAAAACAGCACTGATGATTCGTCATCGAGTGCTTCATCTGAGGTAACTTCCAGAAATGGAATTGAATACTCGAGTCCCTTGGCTCATCAGAAATTGCAGTAAGCTTTCGTTCGGAGAACAATCTTCTCCATGATCCTACTTTCGTCATTAATGCAAGTATTAAGCTGCACAATGTTCGTTGATCCGACTGCTAGGCTGCTAGCAACAAAAATGAGGAACAAATCTTGAAGACATTTTAAGGCTTGTTTGGTACGCACCAGTGCACAGAATAACAAACAAGACTTACTTGTTTTTTCTTGCTTAATCATATCCACTGCTCTCCACTTCGACGTATTAAACATGCCATTAATATTTATGCAGGGGGTGTGCTGATGTTTGTCACAGAAAATGTCCCAATCAGTTGAGTTTTTGTTGTTTTTATAGATTTTTTTCCTCGTGTCTCTCGTTGGTGACGGAAAAAGGCCTTGATTGTGTTTGATTTTCAGTTTTGCCTTCAAAGATTGAATATGTTTTATGGGAGTTTCGGATTATGTAGTCGATTCTAAATTTATTGTGAAGAAGTATAATAAATTATTGTTGTTGTTTTTTTTTTTTTTTGCCTTTTCTTACCTTACTTTACATATCATTTCTTCATAACTGTTCCCCATGTGAGTTCAATATGAAATTATCATTTATCACACACCGTAGGTAGTTTTTTGACATTTAATGATATCACAAAGTATCGTGCTGTATTAGGTAATTATGATATCTACCTTTTAAGTGTGAAGGCAAAGAAATTTTGATGAATCTTAGAAAATTATTCGTGAATAATGACTTATTGTTCATCGTTATGGAAGTCGTGTTTGAAAATTACCATTCATATAGTGTTTTGATCTACGACAAATTTTCCATATTGTTCCATTCTTCCATCCAATTATTTGAAGTTAAAGAATAGTGTCCTACTTTGGTAAAGAGAATTGATTAGTACTAGATGGTATTAAATGAAGGATACGAAGCTAAAATCTTTTATTATTAATAATTTCTTGATAGTTTTGGAAATCCCTTTGAAACTCATGACAAGGTGCATGGAGGGAAAGTGGGAAGCCTCAGTTTTATTCTCCCTTCTCATTCCTCAAACGTGCACTATAATGGACAAATATTTCCACCAAAACTGAAGAAATCTAAACAAATAAAACCACGTTGAGAGTTCATTTGGCATAACTTCTAATTTTACTTTTGTCTTAAAGAAACTACCTCAATTTTGTTTGGAAACTAATATTTAAAAGAGATTTTTATTTCGGAAGTACTTTTAGAGAAAAGTACATGAACCACCTTTCTCTAAAAACCTTTCTAACTAAAAGAAGCGATTTCACAAAATTATCCAAAAGTAGCTTTTGGACCTCAAAATCTCATTTTAACTTCTCAAAAGCCACGCTAAAAGGACAGTTAAATCATTCGATCACAAGCTCATACAATAATTAGGGTTATGTACATGTAGAATTATTCCAATAATTAATACCTTGATAGCATTTGTAGAGAATTGGACGGAGAAAGAAAAAAGCTAAAATCTTATACAACGTATTGCTCCACTCTATCCAATACAGCATATTGGTTTGTCAACTGCCTCACTCTCTTTTTTCTGTTGTATTACAAATTACACTACCTGTCCAGGGAGAAAACAGTACAGTAATAAACTCCCTGTAGTGTCGTCTTTCAGTGTTGCGTGACACGACTATAAAATGATGCTCTATCCACTCTGAATCCCGACCGAAGAAAGCCAAGACACAAGAAGTTCCCAGCATAGACAATCCACCTTCCTACACAATTGGCATCATAGAATGCCGTACAGATCATATTTTTACATCATTTACATAATCGATTGCAGAATCATATATGTCCATTGTCCTTGATTTGCTTGAATTGGACAGATACGAGTGCCTTCAAAAAAGATGATCTTCTAATCAGAAATGAACAGATAATCCCATCTTCCAAAACTGTTCGACGGAAAGGCCAATGGTGTTAGTAGAAAGAGAGTGTAATGCACTATGGTATATGACATCAAGTTCAGGAAAAGGAGGAAAAAGATGGGTAGGTAGTTGTTTTTAATATGTACAAAGAAACAAAGTGATAAAGAAAAGAAGTAGGTCGGAAAAGATGAGCCATTTGCAGATACGTTACGGAGGTTTGCTTTTGAATAATGATTTGATAAACTCCGTGCATTTTGTACAGGTTCATCTAAGCTTAAAAGTTTTAGTCAAATGTAAAAAAGTTCGTTCTAAAATAATGAATTTACCTTTGGTCAAAGTTAGAAGTTAATTATTTTGAAGGTAACCCTCCACATTGCCGACAAGATAAGTAACTTTTGTTAATTATTAGTAGGAAATTAAGTAACCTATCGAAACAAGGTTGACTTACTTTTAAGCTTAGCGAAACACGTTCCTGAATAAGAAGTCAACATTTCAGCTAGATCTCTGAATGCATCCCCAATCAGTTACTATTTGGGGATCATAGCACACGACATTAAAGTAAAAAAATGTTGGCTTCAATGCATGAAGCAAGAAGACAACATTAAATGCTGAATTTCTCATGAAGCAGGGAAAGCCAGTTAAACTGATATTTATATTTAAATATAATCAAACAAATAACAAGAATACCTGTCCAAGATCGATCAATAAGGGCACCTTCATCTTTGTTCCTCCAACATCTCGTCAAGCATTTCCACACTTCTCTTGGAGATGTCACCACCCCTTAACAATGTTGTAAGAAACCTTGGGTAAAACGTAGGATAATCCAGGCTACCAGACATATCCTACACGAATGAAAGCTAAAACTTGATTCTTAGTACATAATACATAGCTTACTCATTGAGGTAAACATGTCCATCCAATCGTCCCCAATCTATTGTAATGTGCTCTTATGGAAACATGTCTTGCCTAAAATTTTTGAATTCCTAAGTCAAGAAGCAAAATGAAACTTCACAAAGTTGGAGAGGATAACATAACTATTTAACCGATATTTGGATGGTTTGTCATGGGGGACTAATTGTGCAATGAGAATGGAAGGTGGAACCAACTTGCTACTGGAAAATAAGTTTAGGGACCAATGGTGCAATTTTTCCATTTAACTTCATGCACGACACAAGCAAGAAATCTACATGAATACATGCGTGTATATGCATCTATAGAGTCCGCGCAAAGACACATTGATGGGAAATATATGTCTTTCCCATTTCCGTCTATAACACTGTTAGTATATAAACGCATCTACACTGAACATAAATTAATTGCATACTTTATGAAATTTATGTTCTCCTAGCAAGAGGCTAACTGACGGTAGAAGGTGTAAGAAATTTATGTTTATAGGAGAACAAATGCATAATAATAATGTGATCCAGGCAGAAATAGGCACAGTTGGATCCATAAGGAAATCCAACACTACTCAAGCTAGAGTCAGAAGATTTTGAGGGGTTTAAGTTAATAAATTAACTCCTGAAAAAAAAAAAATAATAATAATAATAGAAGCTTTAATTTTTCAGGTGAAAAAAAGAATAGGTGATTGTATATGCAAGTAATCCTATGAATGTCCTATTAATTAAAGCTATATATCCCTTTAAAGTTTAACTTAGAAGTATGACTAGGATGAGAAGAGACAGACCATTTGCTGAAAGACGCCTTGGGGCCCTACATTTGCAATTTGTGTATCCACAGGGACCTGCTGTACATATGATGGCATTCAACAAATTTTTCTTTAAAACAAAAGAGCATGTAAATAAACAAAGAAACCAACCTTTCCTTCCTTGTTTGCATTTCCATCATTACCGACCCGTTCCTTTCCGGAATCTATTCTCTTGGCACCCTTGTTTGTCCGGATCACATCATCATTAGGAATTTGCTCTCCGCCGATGATAGTGCTACCTTGGTTTATGTTGGAAAATAAGGGGTTGGAGAAGAAACAACAACAAAATTATAGAAACAAAATGAAGAGAAATCAAGAAATACGTCAAAAACGAATTTGAGGTTTGAACACGGGATCGTTGTTCTCAAACCATATTTGCCCCCTCTCCATATGAAATGAGATGCTTAAAGGTGTTATGGCAAATGGTTTGAAGAATTTTAACAAGTCTTGATGCAGAAAATTACAAAGCACGAGAAATTTTCCACCAAAACTTGATGAACACAATAAATAATAAATGAATATGAGTTATAACAGGGATTTGATTAATTGTGGAAAAATATATGAATTTCAAGATGTTTTTCTTGTTATTTTCCTTGAACATGGCTTCACTTATTTATAGACCTTCATCATGTATACGAAATGGTGCCAAAAACCAAGTGAAAGGTCACCAAATTTGAAATGGAAATGGTAAAAAACGGCTAGGCAACAGTCACAAACGCTACCATGGGCCAATATATTGGGCAACCGTTTGTTTTTAATTTTAGCACCGTCTACCGTCCATTTCGTCTTTCACGGAAGCCACTGACCAGTTTCATCCATATGCGGCCACTGTCCATTTGTTCCAAGCCACCGTCCATTTTGGCTTTAATTTGTTGGTTTTGAACAACCAACTTCAACAGTTTACTCCCACAATACCTTGAATGGAAAGAGTTGCCGATATTTTCAATCTCAAATTATTTTCAGAAGAGTTACTCACGTTCTCAAATTGTAGCAGAGCTTCTTTAATGGCAGCAACAGCAATGCCGTAACTATTCTAAGACAATGACCCTTCTTCACCTAATATTATAGCTCGTTGGCAAAGGTCATTGTAAAGACGGACATTAGATTGTACCTCGTCCAGTTTTTCACTTATGGGATGCCTACTAGTGGCAGCATTAGTCCACCGTTGCATTATGTACTTAAATGGTATACTGAATTTGCCAAACATTTGGAGAACGACAATGGCATGTCTACAAAGATAACTTTTTGTTGACACATAAAAATTCAGCCCAAATCGAACAGCCCAAGGAGTGAGGTCCAATTGAAGGATCCCCAAATCAGATAGCCCAAAGAACGAAGCCCAATCAAACAAATCAAGATGAAGGCCCAAATAGGGAGGCCCAAGAACGCGGTAACGCCATCGCCTAAGTTTGCAAGTCGCCCAGAATCTGAGCGAATGGAGTGTCATACAGTCGCCCAGAGCTGTTACTCTATTCTCGCCCAAACCTTCAAGTCGCCCAAGGTCTTAACAAACATAAAGCGTCGTGGTTATCAAGAAGTGCAGTTATCAAAGCAGTTATTAAAGCAACCCTATCACGTTCCACGATTCAAGGAATTCAATCGAAAGCGGTTGAACGATGAAGAGTAATGGCAGCAGTTAAAAAAAGGCAGTTTTCATGACAAGTTGGCCATTAGGAAGAAAGTGGGCAGTTATAGAACGATCAAGCAGTTTTTAGGGCGGTTGATCACAAAGAGATCGTCCATGAAGTATAAAAGGGAGAAAGGACATAGAAGCAAAGGATCGAATCAAAAACTCTCGAACAGAGAACATGTAATTTTCATTTCCTTAGCTTAGACTTAAACACTTTTCTTTCAGTAACTCGTGTGCTTGCACCCCTTGGAGGCACGTTGTTTTTAATTTCCAATTGTAAAGT